GGTACGTCAAAACTCAATATACATAATGCATCGCTGATGCAGAGAACGAATGTATAATAATATGTTTCAATTTAAAAATTCGGCAACAAGGTAAAATGTGTAGTTTTTTTTTTCGCCGTGTATATACATAGACCTCTATAAAATGCATATATTTTTACATAGGTTTATATATTATTCAAGCCCCGACTAAACGGAAAATACCGGTTTTTGTTTTTTTTTTACTACGTTAATGAATATTAAGTATAGATATGGAAATGAAAAATAGTGGGTTGACTTTTTTATTTATTGTGTAGAGATATTTTTTTGAAGGGTGTTTGTCTTGTATGTGGCGAAAAAAACCACCCTCCTCCGTGTGGTGTGTGTACATTATACACCTATATATGTGGGTTTGGCGTGAAAAACACAGGTTATATACGGTTTATTTTTTCTACATATTATACGCACTTCAAGGGGGATAAACCGCGATTTTTATCCCGCTCACCCTAATGACTGGTAATGGAGCTAATATGTTTGAACGAATTCCGCGCGATTGGGGGAAGTTGTTTAGTTGTCGAGGAGTATCTAAATTCTTGTAAACTTTGATACATTCGGATTAACGCTCTCGTTATAATATATATAATAATATATAGATACGATACGTTAACTTCTCGAAAACAGTTACCATTGCTACTAATTACCATTTTATTATATATAAATTAAATTATATTTAAAATACGCATTGTATAAAACATAATTAATATATTTTAGGGTATTTATATATTTTTGTATATAGATTATTTAAAAAAAATAATATTATTAGTATAATGCAATTTTATAAAGGGTTTATCAATACTTAGGTAGGTACATACATTATTTTTTTTTTACAAATAATATTTTATAAACTGCTTATTTGCATTGTGTGTATATTCAATGTTGTTATCTTGTAAAACAGCCGTTGTAAAAATTATCGAGGGCCGGAAGCACTCTTATTAGCATATTACGACCCTGCAGCTATATTATACTCGCGATGCACGTATACCGTATACGTATAGGTTATATATTATCATAGAACATAATAATGATATTATATAATATTATAATAAACCGAATACGAATAATTTTTTCCGTTCTTTTTGTCTTAAGTGTATATAGTTACGCCTAATTTGTCAAAACGAACATGCATAATATACAAGCTATACACGTATATAATATATTATTGTATGTACGAATAGTTAGTTAACATTAACTATACAGTATACATTATTATTTTTAATAAATGCGCGAACGGGAACAATGCGGGGAATTCTGAAAATGTTTTCAATGTTGCGATGCCGATGATGGATCCGGTACGTTATAATTAATAATAATAACTTGTAACTCGCGGTACAAATAATTATCAAAACAATCAACAAGTACATTTTTAAAGAAATCTAATTAAAAAGAAAAACGTCGGAATATAAAATATGTATTCAAAAATATTAATTACTATCTATACATTATAAAATATTATACGGATATAACAAAACAAAAAATAAAAATAGTTAATAATAATAATATTTATTATGTACACCTATTGTATAATATGTATAAAAAAAATCCAAACTCGACTCTGTTAGGTACCTATATATCTATACGTAGCTACGTACATATTAATACACATATATATATATAACGTAATAATTATATATATAAACCTACAGACAATACGCGGACGGACGGAATCATTCGAGACATACATCCATCGTCGAATCGATGAGAACTTAATAATAATAATGATGATAATTATGATGATGATGATGATGATGATGATGATGATGATAATATAATATTATTCGGCGGCGGCGCGTTGTCCGCGTATTATTATTATTGCGAGGACGCCGCCGCCGGGCGGTGGATTGCCCGCGGAGGTTAGGAGGGGGCGGGTATACGATTTCCAGACGTCCGAATATCACGGAGCGCACGTCGTACCATTATAAATATATTATCGCACACCGATACAGGTACCTTCATATACCTATATATATATATAATATTATAGACGTATGCATATTATACTACCTATAATATTTAACCGTAGAGGTATATAATATCGCAGTGATATTACGTGTATATTATAATACGTTCCCGGGCCGTGGCATTTAATTTAAACGTAGGTATAATGTGTATAGATAGGTACTATTATTATTACTTTATAGTTCACGATCGGCCACGGTGGTGTTCAGTCGGTGGCGGAGGTGGTGGGCGTGACTGTGCGGACGACTGTCGGTAGAGAGACGAAAACCGAAAAACGAAAAACGGAAAAAAAAGAAAAACAATAAAAAAAAAACCCCCGACAACAAAGACGGCGACGGGACGGAGATATGGAATGAAAACCGAACCCGACGCCTATAATAATATTATAGTGCATATATCTACCTAAATAATATTATATAAGTATATATACCTATACGTCATATCCCCATACGGGTTTATATGCGAGCAGACGTGCGTGCGTGCGGCCACAGCAGAAGCAGCAGTCGTACAGTAATAACTAATAATACTAATAATAATAATAATAATAATAATAAATAATATATATGATGTACATTGTACCATTATAATATTATTATGATCGTGTTTATACACGCGGGACGCGATTCTACGCGCAAACAAACGGCGTCGGTGGCGGCGGTGGCGTTGCAGTCGTATCGTAGTAGTGGCGAGCGGAAAAGAATGAGAAGAGAATAAAAAAGGAAAAAAAAAGTAAAAGAAATAAAACGCCGCCGCTTCGCACCACACACACGCACGCCGCCGATCTATCGACGGGGCCGGTCCAATGGCGCGTGATACGGTCCAATAGTTCCACCTACTTTAAGACACCTCCCACCGGACTCTTTATATTATATACGTACATATATATATATATATATATATAAATACGTATACACAGAAGGTCGATTTATTGTTATTTTTATTCGATATTTTTCTTTTCGCCGCTCCGTTGTCCGTTCCTATAATATAGTATTGTAATGTGTACCTCTTATACTATATATTGTGTATTCGGACGTCCCTCCGCTGTGTGCATGCGATGATGTGATATATATAACACGTACACGCTCGATTGATATATTATTACCCCGGTGGCGGGGGTATAGGTGGAGTCGATATTTTCGTAGCCATTTTCCAAACCCGTTTATGATATATTATATATACACTATATACACTGTGATATATTTTATTGTTATGATATTATATACAATATAATATCCCAGCGAACGCTGTGCTATTCAGCAGCAGGTAAATTATATTTTATTTTATATAATATATATATATCTACCTAGGTAAAAGCCGCCACCGCCGCTGTAATTATACGCGTATATATACCGTCCGTCTGCAGTGGCGTGGTAAACACAAGTACTTATGTAAAAAATCTAAACATGGGCACTGGCCCGGAGCTTTTTTTTTACAAAAAATAAATGGGGGGTGTTGAGACGTCTGTCATGTAGTATTATTTTTACGTACCTATTATATAATTATAGGCCAATTCGTAATATAGGCTGTATAGTTAAAGTGAGTTTGGTTATTGTATTATATGTTTAATATACGATAAGACTAATAAAATGCTGCATATTATAAAATAAACATTTTGTTTTTTACTATAATATACTAAAAATGTCACTCATCACGCCTCTGCAGCGTGTACAGTATATACTCGCGAGTCAGTGTAACGATTTATTGTATATATTATAATGTGTAAATATTATTATTATTAAACTGTATGTGTCATATATATACATAATTTATTATATATTATGAGATAAAACACTTTTTAAAAATCAGTGGGTGGGACGTACATTTTAACATTCTATAAATTATAATAGTATAAGTAAGTACCTATAAAAAATGTTTTGGCTCTCCTGAAAACTTTGAAAATGCCGCTTATTAGCCCCTTTTGTCGTGTATAACTGTCGATACGGTCGCTACTGCTACAATAGTTTATATATATTGCCATGGCAGTTATCACATGATATATTCCTCGTAATCATCAATTATTGTTGATGTTTAGTAGATATTAAAAATTAAAAATTTGATTTTCAAAAGTAAGTACCTATTACACCTATAGGTACTTATGCAAAAATGATAATCGGCTCTTATTATTATAAAAATATCACGAAATATTTTTATTACATGCAATTGCAGTATAGTATTATATATATATATATATAGTATACGAATTACGTTAAAGAGGTTTCACGCAACAAATCGCACTCAAATAATGTTCTTTTTAATATATGTTTATGTCTTATACCTATATATACGCAAGTCTACGGCTAAAAACTGCAGAAGACGACGGAGCTGGTATATAATACTGCACGCATAACAACATTGTTATACATAGAACAACTTTGGTCAATATAATATATTATATAGGTATATTATAATATGCATGTATTATTATGTGTAATAATGGCCGGAAACGGCATAAATATATCTTCTTATTGACTTATTAAAATTGTTTTATTTTAATCATACGGTTTATGTAGATATATAATTTAATATGTGCGCGACCGGATTCGATCGATTCGGTGGCATAAGTGGATATAATAAAATATAATAAACGACGAGGAAGTCGTCTAGCAAATTGACCCGCGGACCATTATTTTCAATCACGTTCAATACTTAGAACCACGTAGTGTGCTGGGTTATATTAGGTATATAATATATATATATATATATGAGGCTGAAAGATTATATTACTACGTTATTATTATTACGAGTGCCGTTATTACAATATTATACGGTCGACATGTATGTACCTAAGTATATTATATTGTATATATATACCATCCATACGTAGGTACCTATAATATTATATATAAAGACCGGATACCGGTGATTTTCTTTGATATTCTGTTGTAGTGCTCGAAGAATGGAATTCGAATAATGATTTTAATGTACCTATATAACAAAATATTATGTGTACCTGTATTTATGTACCTACAGCTTTTTTTAACAATTTTTTTTACTATTTTCTTTTGCAGAGAGCTACTTTGGCGGAAAAAGAAGTGACTGCCCTGAAGGAACAGTTGACCAACAACAAAGCACAAGACACGAACGTCATGACCATGGCCACGCCTCTGAGCAATCATGTCGAATCCACCGAGGATCAAAATAAAACACCCGCTGAACTTGAACTTTCGGCTAAAGAAAAAGAGGTAAGAATTTTTGAGCGAAAAAATATACAATATTATATCGGGCGGGATTGTTCTATTTATCCCAAATATATATAAGGATATATCTATTATATTCCTACGCACAGTGTCATAATAATAAATATATATGTACGAATAGTATATATATATAGGTAGGTACATACGGTGACGGTTTATTACTCTGAATTACGTGTGAGCGTTTATTGCGCTCAATAAAAAAAAATATATGTATATGATAATAACGTATATACAATAGACGACTTCCGGCATTTGCTCTCTTCGTGCGCCGTTTTTTTTAATAATATTCAAACACTTCTTATTCAAATATTTGCCTGCCACCGCCGTACCGGATGATGTGTCTTACATATTATAATCTCGTATTTTATCACCTTTCAAACACCTCCATTTTTTTTTATTATTATTATATTATTTATAATTCTCTTTATTATTATACTATTATTTTTTTACGAATAAAGGCAACTCCCGGAAATTCCGCAGCAGCCGTTCCGTTGTTGTTGTTATTATTATTATTATATATTATTATATACCTGAGTCTACATCTCCATATTTTACATTATAGACGCGTAATATACAAAATGTCCACGGGACAAAATACATAACCACGCGTCCGTCTGTCTATACACGCTACACGGCGACGGAATTTCAAACGCCTTCGAGTGTGTGTGTTCTCCCGCGTTGTGCGTATACTTCTGTATATGTGTCTTATATAATAAATATATAGACCAATGGCGCCATCGAATCGGAAACAAGGTGCTCGGCGGTCTTGCAGGAGGGGTATATACACAGTATAATATAGTACATGGTAGTATGGTTGTATAGGCGGTTTGTGTGTGTGTGTGTGTGTCTACGAACGGGGAAAAAGGTAATGGTATAAATTTTCCACTTCTATCACGCAATTTCCTTCCGTTTCGCGTCCAATCACGCTATTACGTCGGACGCATAATAAGTCTTGTGTGTATATAATATACGGAGAACTTTGGGATTGATTTTATTACATCTGCATTTTCAACGTGTATATATAATACTGTGTTATATATTATTATTGTGTGTGTATATATATATATATATGACTACGTATATATTATATTATATCGTCGTCGTTGCCGCCGCCGCCAGGGTCTGATATGATCGGGCGAGGCCCTTAAAAATCGAACCCGCTCGACCGGCACGACATGCACACACTGCAGACTATAATATTATAATATACGATCGCGGAACGTGTATATATACCTATATATAAGTATATTATGTATAATGTATATATAAGAAATAAGTACAGTAAAACGACTATACACATACATAATATATATATATTATATATAATACGGTTTAGTGTGTTTATATATATATTTACACACGTATAATATGTATAATAAACGCGTGGTGGCGGCGGCGGCGGTGATGAGGTCACGGAAATGAGAAGGACCGAATTCGTAGACGGAGCGAGCGCGGGGCAGAGTATATTTCCTCCCCGCTGCCCGCCGCCCACGCTGGAGGCTCTTGTGTGCTATTAATGGCCGCAGACACAACGCGCGCAATTTAGTGTTTTAATAGTGTGCATATATATATATATATACACGTAGGTATATTTTATATATATATATTTAATATTATATACATAGGTACCGACCAGCCGATCGTTTTATTACGTGAGCGCATTCTTCGGTCTTTACATCGGTTGAAAATAATAATATACATAATATTACTATCATGTGATATATTAATGATATCCCCTTAATAATACACTTTGGCGAGTTGTAGCTATATATTCTTATGCGTGAATATCGTATAAATATATATATATGTATATTATATACCTAACAACAGATATCACGCTCGCACATCATTGTTGGATACGATAATAATATACAATATACGACATGGAGACAGCGGGTGTCCCGGAGTATCCACTGATATTATACAATCACGGTACGTGGCCTATATAGCGATAACTGTATCCAATCCCGATCGATATTATATATTATTATCTGCATAATAACAATATGTACATACGTCTAAGTGCATACCGTCCCGCACTCAAAGGCCGTATTATTTTTGTAACGTTGCTTATCGATTGGCAACATTAAGCTATAATATTGTATAAAGTCACTTAAAACGTATATATATATTAGTATATCGACTAAAATTCTTCGTTATACAGAAGACCTATTATTATCATATACAATTGTTTGCGGATCGAAAAGTGGAAATGGGGAGCCGAGCGTCGGAGCCCTTTCAGTCGATGTTTAAATGTTGTGCGTTTGTTTTTTAAGTGTTTAAACGCTCAAAGGGTTTTTCGTGCGCGGCCAAATTAGTTAAACGACTTCCCCACCACCGCCCCGTCGACGACAGGTGCGGGTGTTGCTATCGTCTCGCGTTGTTGTCACCGTCCATGCCGCGCCGCGCTCAAGCCGCCCGCGGCCCACTCCTCGACTTGGTTGTTTTCCCATGTACATTATTCTATTTAAATCTATTAGGTCTACCGACGACGTTTCTAATTGTTAAAGGTATACAAAATAAGCACTGTATAATATACCAGTAGAGGCACTATAAAAAAATGATACTCTCGTAGCTATAGTCTAATCCTACTAACGCATCGTTTTATATTTATTAGAACAAAAATGTCAAATTTTGTCAAGGAACACATAAATACTATAATAATTATAGTTTAAAAGAGTATAAGTTTGAAACTTTGAAAGGAACTTACAATACTGTTTGACACAACACGATTAGGTTTCGTTAATCAGGTTTAATTTAACTACTTAGGTTAAGGCCATCAACTGATGTTAAATCAATTACAAGATGGTTATTTAACACCAGTTGATGGTAAATTTATAAGCGTTTGAACAGCGCCGCCATCCCTTTCATAATACATCATAATTCATAAGTATTATTCATGCGTTATTCTTTCAAAGTAGGTACCTATAGCTATATAAATATATGTATAGGTAGTTATTTATTAAAATTGTATTATAAACTCGCGTTACACGAACCCGATTCATTCAATTGGAATCAATGTAGACGTTAATCGCATAATTATATTATTATATGAACATTATAAAGAAATAAAAGATAAGCTCGCAAGAAAAATCGTATATTATTATGCATTGTATAATAGTTAATTTTTTCCGCCGTATTGGTATGTATGAAATACCATCATCGCCGGCCAAAATAGTCTGCACACAAATGTACAGGTATACACATACGCACACACACACACACACTCACACACAACATATACTAGTATAATTTATTAATTTAATAGCAGAGTACTACACACACACACAACAAAACGACGATACACGATCCCCGCACTCACCTCCTCCACGTATAGGCAGACCCGTCCGACATCTATACTTTTGGTCTCTCTGTCTCTCTCTCCGCCGATGATTTTCTTCGCTGACGTTCGCTCTACAATGCATACACACACACTCGCGCTAGCAAACATATATAAACGCACATATGACGAGTGGTCGCCGAAGGGTAGAAAATGAGGGTTGATAGATGGGCACATAACGTGGTATAACGGCGTATTATATCTGTATATATATAAATATATATATTATATGAGTTCGGAACTTCGCATCATCCTCACGTCCGCTGTACCCAGTGCTCGCGCTCACACACACGCACACACACACACCACCTACCCGCCGACCGCGTTCCTCTTCCCCACGATCGCATGCGAAAGGGGTAACTCCCACCTACGGGCAACTATTAAAACAATAGACGATTGACGCGGCCATCTTGATTTGAAGATATATCTCCGGGGTTCGGCATCTCATTCCCACACACACACACACACACACGTGGCCCGCACTTTAAAACGGGATTGAATTATTGATCAGCTCTCCCACCCTCGCCCGATCATATCCCGCGACCATTTCCCACCCTCTCCAGCACTGTGTCGGTGTCTCGCGCGCGCCGTATATATACGCGATACGATATATAAACGGGGCTTCTAATTACGAAATTTCATATTTCATATCCACCCCTACACCCTCACATCCTAGAGCCTCTACCGTCCGTCGTCGTCATCTCCACCCGCACACACATACACACACACTGCCCGCGCCCTCTCTCATACTCACTCTTTTCGCCTCATCCGCCGCCAACGTACATCCGTTCGACCCCCCGAGATCCTTTACGAAGTCCGTCAAAACCTCACCCTCGTAACGATTGTAAACTCGGTCATGTGTATATATATATATATACGTGAATATGTGTGTACCTCTCTCCTCTGTCGTATCACCTCCGCCGTTGCATAATGTATAATACTTGCAGAAACCGATATTTGCCAATAATTCCAACTCTCTGTCCACCGTGTATAATATATTACAGTCCCGCAGACCCATAATTCTTATCACGTCGTACATAGTCCGAAGACGGCAACCGACGATTTGTTAGTGACGTTAAGCCTCCGAGTGAAATGTAACACTCATTCGTGTGATAACATTATATACTACGATTACCGAATAACGATGTTAATGTGCAGTATATACCGGTGTTTCACGAAAATAATACTCGTTGTTCAATTAAAAAATTATGCGGAGTTTCCGGTCGTAAAATTAATAAATATCAATGGCAAAAAAAAAAATAATAATAACAATATTACCCGTATCAAACTAAAAGAAAAAGTTTCATTTTTCCGTATATGTAAATAAAGAAACGCGCAGAACTGTCGGGAGTTATAATATGCATTTCAACGACTATATATAATAATACCCACGTGTAAAGAAGTTCGTACCCCCGCGATTGTTGGCCTCGAAAACTTTCGACAAGCGTGTGTTTCGGGCTCGGAATTCTTTTCTCCATTGTGTACCTATACGATATGCGATATAATACTATAATATATGTACAACATTGAAAAACAACCGAGTTTTACTGCAATAATTAGGTGTATAAATTGTACGTCAAGTGCCGACCGCGTGATCCCATCGATAATGTTTTGCTGAATGTGCAACCCACTCGCCGCACGTTGC